GATCATGCTTTTAGAGAAAGAGAGAGAGAGTGTGTGTGTGTGTGTGTGTGTGTGTGTGTGTGTGTGTGTGTGTGTGTGTGTGTGTTTTGTCATGTCTGACCTAGAAAGAGACTCATAAAAGTGGTTCATAAATACAGTGTGCGTGCTTGTCTGAGTGTGCGTGTCTGTTTGTGTGTCTCTGTGTGTGTCTGGGTGTGTCTGTCTGTCTGTCTTTGTGTGTTTGTGTCTCTGTGTGTCTTTTCTGTGTGTGTGTGTCTGTCTGTGTGTCTCTCTCCTTCTCTTTGTGTGTTTGTGTGTTTCTGGCAGGTCTGGCAGCTGAATTGTTCTCAGTAAAGTGTTTAATCTGCGCTGTGCTGTGTGTGTGTGTGTGTGTGTGTGTGTGTGTGTGTGTGTGTGTGTGTTGTAGATCGCTGTGCAGACGCTCTGGAACATTAAGATCGTGGTGTTGGTGAAGGCAGAGCATGAGAACCGCATCAGTCATGTGGGAATGTCCAGCGTCAAAACGGGAATCGCCAACACACTCGGTCAGGAACACAACAACACACACACACACACACACACACACACACACACTGCAAATATCTAACCATTTATAAATCAACTTCAATTGCGCAGACATCTCCAAGATAAAACTTTCTATTATCTTTCAAAAACTGTAATGAAACAGTTATGAAATGTGTTTGGTTTAAAACAATGTATATTTTTGAACTTATATTAACATTATTTTCGTTCTTATTTTAAGTATAAATTAACCTGATTTTGATACATTCTCATTAAAGTAATTTTGATATTTAATCAATTCAATTCAATTCAATTGTTTATTGTCATGTGCACAGTAAGGAAACACGTTTCAACTGTACAATGAGATTCTTACTTTGCCGTCCACAGTGAAGTCATACACACATCATACACAACATACACATAAATACACATATATACACAGAAGTGACTGAAGTATGATTATAAAATGTAAGTATCTATGAAAGTAAACAATATATAAAACTGATTTTGGAGTAATGAAACAGATGTAAACAGTGTACAGTGGTTCTTAAATTGTGCTTATTATGCAAAAAGTGCCTAGTGCAATTGGCTTATGTATAAAAAAAATAGTGCAAACTGGGGTGGAGAATGTAGTGTTGTACTGAGCTGAAAAAGAGACTGTTTATGTGCATTGGTTATCTGTTTACAAGTCTGATAGCTGATGGGAAGGATTAGTTCTTGAGTCTGGCAGTCCTGCATCTCACACTCCTATACCTCCGCCCTGAGGGTAGGAGTGTGAATAATCCGTGTTGTGGGTGCGTGGGGTCTTTCAGGATGGAGGCAGTTCTCTTGTGGACTCTGTGATGGTAGATAGTCTGCAGAGAAGGCAGTGGGGACCTGATGATCCTCTCTGCAGTCCTCACCACTCTCTGCAGACGTTTGCGGTCCTTTACAGTAGCGTTGCCATACCATACAGTAATGCAGTTGGTCAGGATGCTCTCAACCACACAGCTGTAAAAGTTGCTGAGGATCTTAGATGACAGACTGAAATGTCCTGATTTAAGAGTTTTACATCAGTATTATTAAATCTAACTCAATGTCAAACCATTGTTACTTTAAATAAACAATAAATAAGAATGTAAACGTTCAGAAATATTGCTTGTTTCGTGTAGTTTAACTTGATGTACTGAAGTAAAAATAAAATAACAACATAGGACAAAGTTACCAAAACTTAAACATTATTATGAAAATGGGAAGCATTAAAATAACATTAAAGTATTTCTGGATTTAATGATCTGCTTTTATTTATTTGTATTTCTCCGTGATTGTTGGTTTTCTAGGAAACAAAGGTGCAGTGGGCGTGTCCTTCATGTTTAATGGCACATCGTTTGGATTCGTTAATTGTCACCTGACGTCCGGCAATGAGAAAATCCACAGGTATGTGCTTTAAAATACAGAATACAATAGTATTAATAACAATTCATAAAGATAAGAAAAATACCTTGTTTATTTGTGTTTATACTCACAAATACAACAAAAATTGCTTTTATAGAACAGAAAACGCACCTCAGTCATCTCAGTCTGCCTAACAGTGTCACCAACTGAATGATTGAATTTCAGAACAAAGTCTACATAGGTTACAAGTCCTGCCGATTTCCTACACTCGCTGGCCACTTTATTAGGTACACCTCACTAGTACCGGGTCGGACCCTTTTGCCTTCAGATCTGCTTAATCCTTGGTGTCAGAGATTCAACAAGCTACTGGAAATATTCCTCAGAGATTTTGCTCCATACTCTCATGATAGCATCACACAGTTGCTGCAGATTTGTCGGCTGCACATCCATGATGCCAATCTCCCGTTCCACCACATCCCAAAGCTGCTCTATTGGATTGAGCTCTGGTGACTGTGGAGGCCATTTGAGTACAGTGAACTCATCGTCATGTTCAAGAAACCAGTCTGAGATGATTGAGCTTTATGACATGCTGCGTTATCCTGCTGGAAGTAGCCATCAGAAGATGGAGACACTGTGCTCATAAAGGGATGGACATGGTCAGCAGCAATACTCAGGTAGGCTGTGGCGTTGATGCTCAATTGGTACTAATGGACCCAAAGAAAATCTCCCCCACACCATTACACCACCACCACCAGCCTGAACCGCTGATACAAGGCAGGATGATCCATGCTTTCATGTTGTTGAGGCCAAATTGTGAGCCGAGCATCCGAATGTGTCAGCAGAAATGGAGACTCATCAGAGCAGCAACGTTTCTCCAATCTTCTATTGTCCAGTTTTGGTGAGTCTGTGTGAATTGTAGCCTCAGTTTCCTGTTCTTAGCTGACAGGAGCGGCACCCGGTGTGCTCTTCTGCTGCTGTAGCCCATCCGCCTCAAGGTTGGACGTGTTGTGTGTTCAGAGATGCTCTTCTGCAGAGCTCGGTTGTAGCGAGTGCTTATTTGAGTTACTGTTGCCTTTCTATCAGCTGGAACCAGTCTGGCCATTCTCCTCTGACCTCTGGCCTCATCAACAAGGCATTTGCGCCCACAGAACTGCCGCTCACTGGATATTTCCTCTTTGTCGGAGCATTCTCTGTAAAGCCTAGAGATGGTTGTGCGTGAAAATCCCAGTAGATCAGCAGTTTCTGAAATACTCAGAGCAGCCCGTCTGGCAGCAACAACCATGGCAGTAATTTGCGTTAACAAGCAGTTGGACAGGTGTACCTAATAAAGTGGCCGGTGAATGTATATGTTTTGCTGAGAAGTCATATTGA